CTCAACACATCCCAGGTACTGGAAGCAATTGAAATTGATTGGATTAATCAATAAGCGCGAACAGGGTCGAGTTTGATTGATACTCGAGATTGATTTTGACAAAAAAAGAATAATAGAAGCTGTAGACTCCTAGTGAAATGTAGAATGAAATTATCGTTTCAGAAATTTCTTCTTTAATTATTAAAAATATATATATATATATATATATATATATATATATATATTTAAATTACGTTGGATATAAAAGTTTCAATTCACTAGAAAAGAACATTTTCGAAGTATAGGGGTAGTCTATCAAAATAGAATAGGGCTACACATACGTATTTTAAGTAGTAAGGGGTAACCGTAATGGTACGTTACTCTCGAATATCGATTATTTGGATATGTGCCAATTTTACGGCCGATAGCTGTTCGATTTTTGATTACACACGAATTCTTCATGTTTAAACGTATTTTGTTTCGAATGATCAAATTTTTAATCTTTAATTACGAATTTATATTTATTACTTTTACTGATCTTCGATATTAATTTCTTTTTTATCGATCTAAAAATTAATAAAAATTTTATTTTTAATAAGATTCCAATTTAACCCCTTCTAATTATTTTCTTATTTGCATATTTTAATAAGATGATTCATTTTTTTCTTTTTTCTAAATAAATCGTAACTTCACCTTCACATATATTTAACACATAATTTTACACATAAGTATTTTTTAGTATTATTCATTCTATTTTTTACATATAAATTTAATATTTAATAATAAAATTAAAATTGTACCTTAACATGGAAAGCACATGTGGCCGAGCGGACAGCCGTTTCGTCCGCCTGCCATTGATGCGGTTTACTTGATTCCGGTACATGAGGATCTTTCCGCCGTCGAAAGCTATCACGAAAACTTCGTCGAAGTCGGTCCATTCTTTTTCCCGGTGACCTCTCTCGCTTCTGCAAAAAAATATAACAATATTTTTCAATTTTATATTTATATTTTTCAATCGTTTGAATTATAACTTTCTTTTTTTCCTTGTTAAAATTATTCCAACGAATCATTTTATAAAATCACTTATTTAATTTTAATACACGGTATTAAATAATTGAAACGGGCCAATCGATATCTCTCGACGTCTCTTCCACTTCGCTCGTCGACATTTGAAAAGTGAGAAAAATGGACGCATCGATAACAATCTTTGCTCGCGTCGAAAAGAATAAAAGAGAAGAGAAACACAAAAGCATTGGAAATGTGACACGAGAAGTATAGACATGGTGTAGAGAGAAGCGCGAGGTAAAGAAAGATTGCGAAAAAGTTTCCAAGACCGTAACATGCGCAACCTTTTTCTATCTAACGATCACAAGTGTAGACAAGTACTATGCACGTTCAATTGATATTTTTCTATTTTTCTTGTTCATCCATTCCTTTTTATAAACAATCGTATTTTATTAGATTAGGTGAATTTCGTTTCGTTAAAATTTGAAATAGAGATAAATCGTAGAGATTTGCATTTATGAGATTTGCACAAGAATTTTTCGAATTTCTCGCGAATTCTGTTTATTAATTTGAAAACAAGTGTGTACAGAATCGCGTGGATATCATTTGGGGGTCAAACACACACGATATTCGTTTGAGAAAACGTTTTGGATGCATCGACCAGTATATACGCGTTTCCCACGTGTTCGCACGTTTTTCGTGTGGCCCGATTCCTCGTTTTCTCGCACAAGTAAACACGTCTATTCACGTCGCTGAATGCCAGCGGCAACGTCAAACGATCCTCGATTAACGAGCCGTGTTAAACGGTAGCGGAAAATTGGATAATCCGCAAGCGATTCGAACGAAACTGTAAATTGTAATGTAAATCGATGAATGTTAAGACACGTTAAATCATTAATTTTGCAATCTTTTTTCTTAATTTATTAACTGTTTTCATGATTATTCAACTTGCAATCCCAGTACAAAATAAGAAAAATTTGAAAAATCAACACGATAGAAGCATATATTGGAAGCATTATTTTCTTAAAGTTGATTAATTAAAAATTTCGATTTATAGATCGAAATAATTAAATTTTATTATTATAAATATAATATGATGTGAATTATATGAAATGTATCTTTCACTGTTAAAGAAAGTGTAATAAATAAAGTAATTTCGTATAACGTAATATATTACTCGTTGCCTCTGCCTCTTGCTAACGATCACTTCACGTGTGCGCAACTTAATTTGACTTTAGAATTTTAGATGACCTTAAACTTATAATGTGCCATTCGATCGATACATAATGTTTTTATGAGTATTTTTGTTTCCTTTTCGTTTTATCGATCAAATTGCTTCATTATCACCGGAAGCAAGTTATTTCAATTTTTAATTACAATATTAACGAAGAAATTTTTACAAGTCATAAATACTATCTACATTTTATTTCTATACGCGTTTATATTTATTTATATTTATCGCTAAAAAATATTTCAGAAAGCAATAATAAATTAAAATATAATTCATCGTATCATTTTGAACAATCATTATCATATTTTCTTCTTCAAAATTTATTCTTCTGCAAATTCATCCTCCTTTCAAATGTGTTACCAGTCACGCCACATTTTTCGCATCATTGTCAACGAAGAAGAATACATTTATATATAACATATTCCCGAAAGTCGAATCCCTGCAGTGAACTTGTATGCGGTATTATCTGAATCATAGCATGTTCGAAGCGTAAATCTCGAATGAGACCTGACACGACACGGGCATGTGGCATTTTCTCGAGATCCGCGAGCATTCCCAGAGGAGGAGGGCCGCTCGAGGTTTCCCCGATGAGTCGTTAACAGTCGGCCTTGAGAAAATAGAAGGCAACCAGTGTCTGGCAACGGCCGTGGACCGAGTCGAAGGTCTTACAATGGCCTGTGATCGAATCTTGGCCTCGGTTCCCAACGAATCTTTTATATCTGAACCCTCCACGACCTCTCCCCTAGCACGAATCTACCCTCCTAAATCGGCATGCCTAAGAACCAACGGCCAACGGATCAAGGATCGAGGTAGGTTGAGAAAGTTTTCTCTCCCTCTCT